GCTTATGATCGCTTTTCTACCGCTTTTCCTATCGCCCATGGCCTGGTTGGCAGGAATTAGAAAGCGCTTATAAGCGCTTTTTCAATGCTGCCACTAACCTGGTCGCAACGGGGGAGTGCCCGGAATTAAAAGGCGCTTATAAGCACTTTTTCAATGCTGCCCCTAACCTGGTCGGAACGGGGGAGTGCCCGGAATTTAAAAGCGCTTATAGTTATAAGCGATTTCTCAATTCCCTTCAACCTGGTCGGAACTGGAGAGTGCCCACTCGTATGTGCTTTTCTGAGCAAACTGGGGTGCACCGGCAGAGTCAGGATTTAAAAGCGCTTATAGGCGCTTATGATCGCTTATCTACCGCTTTTCCCATCACCCATGGGCACCTAAGGATTTGAAAAGCGGTTATAAGTTATAAGCGATTACAATCACTTTTTATTGCTGGTTTTTACCGATTTATCTATCATTCTCGCGAGCATTATATACTTCATGAAACTGAGTGTCAGTTTGAAACTGAAACATATGTATGAGATTTTTATAAACATTATAATTTGCTGTCTATTTAGGATATCGATTCTATTCAAATAATTCAGTGTTTTTATTTTTCAGTTTTTAAAATACTCTATCACACTGTGACATGATAAATATAATATAATGACGAGCAATAAGCAAGTTACTTGGAGGACCCTATTGGGCTTAACCAGATAGTTAAAACTTTCTACAACAATCGCTATATTTTTGGACGCCGATTCCGTACTACCCTCTTGCACTGAACATGACTGATAACGTAATTACCACAAAGCCGATCAAATCAAAATGTCGCCCGCAAATCTGTGATCACTGTTCTAAGTAACAACCCTCAACCCTCGTTGCCATGGTTACTGGTTACTTTGACGGAGTTACTCGTCTAAATTTCTTCGAAGTAGCGTGCGCCGCTTTCTGCTCGATGGCAAGTGCTATATACGACGTAGCGCTCCAGGGCCAGACCATTAACAATGGTCAACTGGTTACTTTACTGGGCGGCGCTCAAGCTCAGCCTGTCATTCCGCCAAATCTTTATTCGTTTATTATGTTTATGAACATAATAGCCTGGGGTAACTGGTTACTATGTGCTATGGATGACAACCTTTTGCTTTTTACCTAATTTGCACGTAGGCAGTCGTGCATACATACTAAATACAGAGTAATAATAATACAATAATAATTAAAAATGCTTTAAATTATGATAAAATTAGTATAGATTTTGGACGCTTTTAACGGGTGATACTCGTAATATATTTGTTTCAAATATTAGGACCGTCGACGATTGACGGATGTTACTCGTCTAAATTTCTTCGAAGTAGCACGCGCCGCTTTCTTCTCGAAGTCGATGGCAAGTGCTACGAAGTAGCGCGCGCCGGGCCAGATCATTAACAATGGTCAACGTCGACGAGTCCAACTCGGCGCGCGCCCTGGTAGGTTATTAACCTACAAGGACGCTTCAATTCCGAATCACCCCTCATGGCTGTATTATATATAGTTATAACCATAAGTTTGTGTGTTTATAACCATACAAGACGTATTTATACCATGCAAAACGTATTTATAAGCATGCAAGACACTTAATTGTCGCCGGTCTAATTGCTTATATTTGTGATAAATATTTTAAGAGTATCACTTGACCATTGCATGTTACATGTTACTGGTCTGGCCCGACATAGCACGTGCCATCGTGGCATTTCGAGAAGAAAGCGGCGCGCGCTACTTTAGACGAGTAACATCCGTCAATTAAGAGTATCACCTGTTAACCATGGGTATTGGGTCTATTTGTATCATTCAGGTCGCGTCGTGACATAGTCATAAGTAAATTAAACAATTGCGCGGTAATCGTGAATCGGTAAACAAGCTGATATGCCCATTTTACAGCATGAACTAACATGAGACAAAATAAAATATTGACTCACAATGCGATGTCAATCTTTCAATTCACAGCTTGGCGAGGCCCAGTCTAGTGGTGAATTTTTACCAAACTAGCGAAGCGCAATGTTGAATGTGATTGCGAGAATTGACGGGTGACACTCGTAAAATATTTGTTCCATATATTGGAGTCCAACTCGGCTTTTACTAATTCGCTCGCCCAAAAATTTCACGTGACTTTGGTTTTTATGGTTTTGCAGCCGTACAAAACGGTTTTACATAAATCCTAATCCCAACCCTAACCCTAACCATAACCCCGAAGTTAACCATAACCCTTTCCACAAGCCTAACCCTAACCCGGGCCCTAAACAATCGAATTCGTATTTTACTAGCCTGTCACGTGACCAAAACGGTTTTTTGCCCATAACTCTCCAGGGAAGCATTTTAACCCTACGTCATGGGGGGTGATTCGGAATCAGCGTCCAAAAATACACCGATATAGATCACTTTCATGCCCCAAAGGGCCTTTTCACAAGAATTTCCTTAAAATTTGGGCGAGCGATTTAGTAGAAGCGGTAGAAAAGCGATCATAAGCGCCTATAAGCGCTTTTAAATCCTGATTCTGCCGGTGACCCCAGGTTGCACAGAAAAGCACTTATAACTATAAGCGGGCACACTGATTTCCAGTTCTGACCAGGTTAAGGGGAATTGAGAAATCGCTTATAAGCGCAGCATTAAAAAAGCGCTAATGAGCGCTTTTTAATTCCGGGCACTCCCCCGTTCCGACCAGGTTAGTGGCAGCATTGAAAAAGCGCTTATAAGCGCTTTCTAATTCTTGCCAACCAGGCCATGGGTGATAGGAAAAACGGTAGAAAAGCGATCATAAGCGCTTTTAAATCCTGACTCTGCCGGTGCACCCCAGGTTGCTCAGAAAAGCACTTATAAGCGGGCACTCTGATTTCCAGTTTCGACCAGGTTAGGGGCAGCATTTAAAAAGCGCTTAAGAGCGCTTTTTAATTCCGGGCACTCCCCCGTTCCGACCAGGTTAGTGGCAGCATTGAAAAAGCGCTTATAAGCGCTTTTTAATTCCGGGCACACCCCTGTTCCGAACAGGTTAGGGGCAGCATTGAAAAAACGCTTATAAGCGCTTTATAATTCTTGCCAACCATGGGTGATAGAAAAAGCGGTAGAAAAGCGATCATAAGCGCCTATAAGCGCTTTTAAATCCTGACTCTGCCGGTGCACCCCAGGTTGCTCAGAAAAGCACATGCAAGTGGGCACTCTCCAGTTCCGACCAGGTTAAGGGGAATTGAGAAATCGCTTATAAGCGCTTTTAAATTCCGGGCACCACCCTGTTCCGACCAGCTAAGGGGCAGCATTGAAAAACGCTTATAAGCGCTTTATAATTCTTGCCAACCCATGCCATGGGTGATAGGAAAAGTGGTAGAAAAGCGATCATAAGCGCCTATAAGCGCTTTTAAATCCTGACTCTGCCGGTGCACCCCAGGTTGCTCAGAAAAGCACATGCAAGTTCCGACCAGGTTTAGGGGAATTGAGAAATCGCTTATAAGCGCTTTTAAATTCCGGGCACTACCCCGTTCCGACCAGGATAGGGGCATCATCGAAAAAGCGCTTATAAGCGCTTTTTAATTCCTGCTCACCTGGCCATGGATGTTAGGAAAAGCGGTAAAAGCGGTGAAATAGCGATGAATTAGCCGTTATAAGCGATTTCTAAAAAAACGCTTATAATCGATTATAAGCGGTTATAAGATGTAATATAGCGTTTTCCTGACTCAATTTTAAAAGCGCTTATAAGCGCTTTATTTGCGCTTTACAAACAGCTAAATTGCACCCCAATTATAAGCGCTTATAATCGCTTATAAATGGTTCAAAAAAGCGCCTACGAATCGCTTATCCGGCCAACCGCTTATCCACCCGTTTTTGGCGCCAATCCTACTGGAAAACCGCTTTCAAATCGCTCAGCGACGCTAGTAAGCGCTTAAAAGCGCTTATAAGCGCTTTTAAATTCAAAAAAGCGCTTTTTTGAATTATGACACCAATTATAGTCGATTATAAGCGATTTTTTTTGAACCGTTTATAATCGTAAAAAAAGCGATTGTAAACGGTTTTTTTTAAAAAAAGCGCCGAAAAAGCGCTCAATAAGCGATTATCGGCGCCGATCATAAAATATCGTTTATGGAAACTTGCCGTCGTTCACATATTACGTAATCATTTTTTGGAACATTTTTACCCCCCCCCCCCCCCTCCGTAATCAGTTTTACACATAGCTATTGTGTCAAAATTACATTAGCGTAATCATTTGGAAACCCCCCCCCCCCTACCCCCCTCAGCTGATTACATAATATGTTAACGACCCCTTATGTAAATTAGGCAGATATGACCTCTAAACTGTATTATTAGTGGAAATTATTTCTGAATTATCTTATTTACCAGCTGAACAGTGTATACACAGAGAACATGTACTATACACATAATTCAGTTGTGAACTAATTTATCAACTGAGGTCAGTTTTATGTGATTTATCTCAATGTGCTTTTTGTTGTAAACGACAAGATTGATTAACCCATTAGGGACGATAGGGTCGTTTTTATGACCCACCTTTTCTAGACGAAAAACCAAATTACTAAACGCTATAACGAATCTATAGCATATATGCTCAAAATTTATTGGGCTACGTATAATGAAGCCCAATAAATTTTGAGTATATATGCTATAGATTCGTTATAGCGTTTAGTAATTTGGTTTTTCGTCTAGAAAAGGTGGGTCATAAAAACGACCCTATCGTCCCTAATGGGTTAATGTTATTCCTTTTTTAAGCTATATTTCAAATTTTGAACTGAAAAAATCTGGCAGTCACTTTAATATTGAGTATTGTTATGGCATGTTAAAGATTATTTCTATTGTTTTGATTTGATTCTTCCTCACGATTTTTTGAATGAATAGCACCTTTTTATTGTTTATTTTTACCAATTGTTTTTATACACATTATTAAATTCGGAAATCTTTACACGCTACAGTTATCAATTATATAGTTTTTAAATCTACGAGCTTTAAATTCATAATTTATGTTTTAGCAGTTTATACGTTATATTATGGCTCCAAAAATTAAAGTACCTGCCAACTTTGGTGTAGAACACATCAACTCTCCTGTACACGGAAATCTGCTTCTGAAGCTGAGAGATGGACAAGAAATCAGAACTAATTCCATGATCATGTCCTACAACAGTCCTGTTATTGACAAACTGACCACCAACCTGTTTCAGGTAAAAATATTAAGAGCAGGACAATACTTTCAGTAAAATTGGTGACTGACGTACAATTATGTGCTTTCAATATCCTTACAATCAAACTTCTATTTTAGACTATGTTTAACTTAAATTCTAATAATTGATATCTGGCCCATTTCAGTCGTCTATTGAGGTGGATGATTTCACAAAACCAGCAGTCGACTGTTTTGTTGAAGCGCTGTACTCTGGTGAAGTTGATAAACTAGAGAAGGACATCTTTGAAGAAGTTAACAAAATGGCACATGTATTCGATGTGTCCTGGTTGACAAAGAGATGTCTAAAGTTTTACAAAGCAGAAGTCCTGAAGTTTGAGAACAACTCGTACGAAGAGATGTTATTTGCTTGTGAGATTGCTAGCAGGGCGCATTATAATCTGAAAGACAGCAGATATGTCAGCTGCTTTGTGAAGAATGTTACTTTCAGTGGTAACGGTAAATTTTTCTTCTTACAGAGATATATGGCTGGATTTTCTAAGCTGTCAAAACGTCGTATTGACATGTCCTTAGCTATTGCTGCAAATGATCTCAACATTATCGGAAATTGTTTTGTAACTTACGTTTCCTTAACCTTGGAATGTAAAGGATTGGACGAGAATTCATTGTACATGCTTCAAATACTAGATGTCCAGAAGTTTAGCCGTACTTTTCCCTCTGAATTAAATGAGTTAACGGACTTTCTTGCTGCTATAACTGAAGATTCTGAATGTGCTGAAATGAAAGCGGTTGTAGAGAATTTTGTTAAAGGGAGAAATACTGGAGAGTCAAGTAGCTCTAAAGAAGAGCTAGAAGTTGATGAAAATACTGAAGATGTACAAGACAGTGATGGTGAGGATTGTAAAGATATTGCTAATCAAACTGAGGAAATAGAATCAGGTATTTTTACAATGTAAACTTTCAAAATTCTTTATTCTCATACGTATTTATTCGCACGTTATTTACACGTATCAAATCAAGTGTTCCATATATAATATTTAATCTATTATTTCTAGGTTGGATACAGTGTGTTAGTAACACACACTACACCCTGTCACACTACGAACCAGTACAGATGATAACTTACACTACAGAGACAGATAACAGTATTCTTGTGGATTATACTCTATCTGGAGAAGGTGGGAGTAGTGAGAAACATATTTGGATTTATAGAGATGTTAAAACCTATCAGTGGAGTTATGTTATTGAGGGATGTACTCCACACAGTGTCAATAAACAGTTTCTAAATAATGTACCAGCTGTTAAACTCAAACACTGGATAATAATCAAAACTTCTACACACCTAAAGGTAGTGTGTAACAGAGTGACAGTTCTCAATTTCAACTTTGCTACTGACTACACACCAGGTTATGAGAATAATCACCAGGTTTGGTTGAAAAAATGCAAAAAAATAAGACTTATTAAATATAGTGTTAGTGATTTACTTATTTGGAGACAATGTGTTAGTCTTGCATGAATTGTGATACAGTTCTGAACAATCATCACTGGAAATATTTTAATTAATTAATTCTCGTTTCAAGTAAACTGACCAGAGAGTTAACTTTTTTGTATTAGATTTATGTAAGTAAACTGTTTTAAATAAATTAACATTCTTTCAATGATATTGTGAGTTTTCTTTTCAAATAATCAAAATACTATGCTCATTCATGAACACTGAACTACACCTAATTAATAAAACAGTCTTGTTCTAAAATTATTAACAAAGTTGGTATTTAGCTGTTACTAACATTAAAACTTGATAAACTAAAATCAAAATAGCTAAAAATTTTGCTCATTATCACAATTTTCGTTTTAGCAGTTGCTACGTTATGGCTCCAAAAATTAAAGTACCTGCTAACTTTGGTGTTGAACACATCAACTCTCCTGTACACAGAAATCTGCTTCTTAAGCTGAGAGATGGACAAGAGATCAGAACTAATTCCATGATCATGTCCTATAACAGTCCTGTTATTGACAAGCTCACCACCAACCTGTTTCAGGTAAAAGATTTGATACTGTTCATATATAGTGAAATTCGCTACTTTTCAATGCTTACAAGATTATTTAGTAAGTTTGACAATTCGATTTTAAATTATGTCCGGTTTTTATGTAAAATAAATTAATATCCTGTCCAATTTCAGTCTACGCTAGAAATGGATGATTTCACAAAGCCAGCATTCGACTGTTTTGTTGAAGCGCTGTACTCAGGTGAAGTTGATAAACTAGAAAAAGACTTCTTTGAAGAAGTAAACAAAATGGCACATGTATTCGATGTGTCCTGGTTGACTAAGAGATGTCTAAAGTTTTATAAAGCAGAAGTACTGGAGTTTGATAACAACTCGTACGAAGAGATGTTATTTGCTTGTGAGATTGCTAGCAGGGCGCATTACAATCTGAAAGACAGCAGATATGTCAGTTGCTTTGTGAAGAATGTTACTTTCGGTGGAAATGGAAGATTTGTCTTCCTACACAGATATATGGCTGGATTTGCTGAGATTTCCAAACGTCGGATTGACATGTCCTTAGCTATTGCTGCTAATGATTTGAACATCATCGGCAACTGTCTCACATCCTATATTTCATTAACCTTAAAATGTAAAGGATTGGATGAGAATTCTCTGTACATGCTTCAAAAACTAGATCTCCAGAAGTTTAGCCGAACTTTCCGTTCGGAATTAAATGATTTAGTTGAACTCTGGCCGCTGCGCTGTAACTGAACATTCTGAATGTGCTGAAATGAAAGCGGTTGTAAAGAATTTTATTAAAGGGAGAAATACTGAAGAGTCTAGTAGCTCTAAAGAAGAGCTAGAAGTTGATGAAAATACTGAAGATGTACAAGACAGTGATGGTGAGGATTGTAAAGATATTGCTAATCAAACTGAGGAAATAGAATCAGGTAAATGATTATTATGTAATTGGTTAATTAAGGTATTTTACAATTTAAACTTTCACAATTCTTTAGTCTTAAACAAACGTAATAACTACTTGTACTAGTAACTAATAGTTACTCAGTCGGCACTAAAAACTAGTATTGACACGTTCTTAACAGGTATCAATCAAGTGTTCCCACTTCCATGTATAATATTTAATATATTTCTAGGTTGGATACAGTGTGTTATTAACACAAACTACACCCTGTCACACTACGAACCAGTACAGGTGATAACTAACACTACAGAGTCAGATAACTATATTGTTGTGTGTTATACTCTATCTGGAGAAGGTGGGAGTAGTGAGGATAAAATTCTGATTTATAGAGATGCTAACTCCAATCAGTGGAGTTATTGTATCAGGGGTTGTACTCTATACAATGTCAATACACAGTTTCTAAATAATGTACCAGCTGATAAATTTAAACACTGGATAATAACCAAAACTTCTACACACCTAATAAAGGTAGTGTGTAACAGACTGAAAGTTCTAAATTTCAACTTTGCTACTGATTACACACCAGGTTCTGAGAAAAGTCACCAGGTTTGGTTGAAAAGCTGCACAAAAATACGACTTTTAAATTTTGATGATGACTTAATTATTTTAAATGCAGGCAGTTAGTTTATGTAAATTAGGCAGATATTACCAGTGACCTCTAAATTATAATTAGTGGAAATTCTTTCCGGATTATTAAAGTGTTATCTTATTTACCAATTGAGCAGTGTATACACACTTGTAATATACACATAATTCAGTGTTGAACTCATTTATCAACTGAGATCAGTTTTATGTGATTTATCTCAATGTGCTTTTTGTTTTTAACGACGAAATTAATAAATGTTATTCCTTTTTTAAGCAATATTTCAAATTTTCAACTGAAAAAAGCTGGCAGTCACTTTGATTTTGAGTATTGTTATAGCATGTTAAAGATTATTTCTATTGTTTTGATTTGATTCTTCCTCCCGACATTTTGAATGAATATCACCTTTTACTAGTTTGATTGTTACCAATTGTTTTTATACACAGTATTAAATTCGGAATGTTCTACAAGCTTACAAGTTACAGTTATCAATTATAGACTTTATAGACTTTAATTCCACTTGCTTTAAATTCGCAATTTACATTTTAGCAGTCACTACGTTATGGCTCCGAAAATTAAAGTACCTGCTAACTTTTGTGTAGAACACATCAACTCTCCTGTACACGGAAATCTGCTTCTTAAGCTGAGAGATGGACAAGAGATCAGAACTAATTCCATGATCATGTCCTATAACAGTCCTGTTATTGACAAGCTCACCACCAACCTGTTTCAGGTAAAAATATTAAGAGCAGGACGGTACTTTTAGTAAATAAGTGACTGTACAATGATACTTTTAGTAACATTAGTGACTGACGAGTGACGACTGAACAATTATGTGCTTTCAATATCCTTACAATCAAACTTCTATTTTAGGCGATGTTTTACTTATAGTTAAATTTATTAAGTAATATCTGGCCTGTTTCAGTCGTCTATTGAGGTGGATGATTTCACAAAACCAGCAGTCGACTGTTTTGTTGAAGCGCTGTACTGTGGTGAAGTCGATAAACTGGAAAAAGACAATTTTGAAGAAGTAAACAAAATGGCACATGTATTCGATGTGTCCTGGTTGACTAAGAGGTGCCTGAAGTTTTACAAAGCAGAAGTACTTAAGTTTGAGAACAACTCGTACGAAGAAATGTTATTTGCTTGTGAGATTGCTAGCAGGGCGCATTACAATCTGAAAAACAGCAGATATGTCAGCTGCTTTGTGAAGAATGTTGCTTTCAGTGGAAATGGAAAATTTGTCTTCTTACACAGATATATGGCTGGATTTTCTAAGCTACCCAAACGTCGGATTGACATGTCCCTCGCTATTGCTGCGAATGATCTGAACATTATCGGCAACTGTCTCATATCCTATATTTCATTAACCTTGGAATGTAAAGGATTAGATGAGAATTCCCTGTACATGCTTCAAAAACTAGATCTCCAGAAGTTTAGCCGTACTTTCCCTTCGGAATTAAATGATTTAGGCGAAGTTCTGGCCGCTGTAATTGAAGATTCTAAATGTGATGAAATGAAAGCGGTTGTAGAGAAGTTTGTTAAAGGGAGAAATACAGAAGAGTCAAGTAGCTCTAAAGAAGAACTAGAAGTTGATGAAAATACTGAAGATGTACAAGACAGTGATGGTGAGGATTGTAAAGATATTGCTAATCAAACTGAGGAAATAGAATCAGGTAAATGATGTAATATGTTATAGGTGAAGAAAGGTATTTGTACAATTTAAACTTTCACACTTCTTTATTCTAATACAGACTTAATAACTACTAGTATAGTAGTGACTAATAATTACGTAGTAACTACTGTAGTAGCAACTAACTACTAGTATTGACACGTTATTTACTCGTATCAATCAAGTGTTCCATGTATAATATTTAACCTATTTCTAGGTTGGATACAGTGTGTTAGTGAAACACACTACACCCTGTCACACTACGAACCAGTACAGATGATAACTAACACTACACAGTCAGAGAACAATATTCATGTGTATCATACTCTATCTGAAGAAGGTAGGAGTAAGGAGAAAGGAATTTTGATTTATAGAGATGCTAAAACCAATCAGTGGAGTTATTGTATTGAAGGATGTACTCCACTGGGTGTCAATAGACAGTTTCTAAACAATGTACCTGCTGCTAAATTCAAACACTGGATAATAACCAAAACTTCTACACACCTAAAGGTAGTGTGTAACAGAGTGACAGTTCTCAATTTCAACTTTGCTACTGACTACACACCAGGTTCTGAGAAAAGTCACCAGGTTTGGTTGAGGAGGTGCACAAAAATACGACTTTTAAATTTTTATGATGACTTAATTATTTTAAATGCAGGCAGTTAGTTTATGTAAATTAGGCAGATATTACCAGTGACCTCTAAATTATAATTAGTGGAAATTCTTTCCGGATTATTAAAGTGTTATCTTATTTACCAATTGAGCAGTGTATACACACTTGTAATATACACATAATTCAGCTGTGAACTAATTTATCAGCTGAGATCAGTTTTATGTGATTTATCTCAATGTGCTTTTTGTTTTTAACGACGAAATTAATAAATGTTATTCCTTTTTTAAGCAATATTTCAAATTTTCAACTGAAAAAAGCTGGCAGTCACTTTGATTTTGAGTATTGTTATAGCATGTTAAAGATTATTTCTATTGTTTTGATTTGATTCTTCCTCCCGACATTTTGAATGAATAGCACCTTTTACTAGTTTGATTGTTACCAATTGTTTTTATACACAGTATAAAATTGGGAATGTTCTACAAGCTACAGTTATCAATTATAGACTTTATAGACTTTAATTCCACTTGTTTGCTTTAAATTCGCAATTTACATTTTAGCAGTCACTACGTTATGGCTCCGAAAATTAAAGTACCTGCTAACTTTGGTGTAGAACACATCAACTCTCCTGTACACGGAAATCTGCTTCTTAAGCTGAGAGATGGACAAGAGATCAGAACTAATTCCATGATCATGTCCTATAACAGTCCTGTTATTGACAAGCTCACCACCAACCTGTTTCAGGTAAAAA